AATAGTTTTTCACTCCTTACTTTGTTTCATCAAATTGCAGTGCAGTATCTTCTTGGCTTTCCCCTTCGTTTTTGGACTCTACGGCTTTAGAGCAGAACATTCTTAACTCGTCTATATATTCTGCAGGTGATACATCGGCTAGTAACCTGCCTTGGACAACAAGGTGGTATACTGCTATAGAAATAGGTTGCAGCTTGCGCTATCTTCACGAAGAATGTCCAGATGGGCCAATTGTTCACCAGTCTGTCTGTTCAACTACCATTGTCTATTCTTATGGTTACTCTGCGATGGTAAGTATATAGAACTACATCTTGCGGCACAATTTAAAAGACTGAGTTTTATGTTCGTGTGAAAAATAGGAAAAAATAATCTAATACAATCAACTTGCTATGTCTCAATTCCATTATTATTTTCCTCATTTTTCAAGAAATTTTCTTCAATTCATGGGCCTGATTTCTCTCATTTTTGTATTAGAATTTTGCATAGTAACTGACTTGTGGCTTTTTATAACATTCAAGCTAAGCAATTTTATAGCTGCCAAGTCGCTCAAGGATGTTCCCCGTGATGGGGAGCCAACAGTCAAGTAAGAAAACTTTCTTATCATGATTTTCAACTTTAATCAATTTCAATCAGTTTTAGCTACTTCATATGTTGGAAGTTTACACATCTGCCATGTCACAATATTTGTGCTTTTCACATCCTTGTCATTTGAACCTATTTGGTGGGTGAAGACGCCCAAACCTAGAGAAAGACAAGTGCCTTTCTGTGGACTTACATGACTATGGAATGTTTCTTGTGGAGCTTATTACTGGGAAGATAACCAATCGCTTTCCACATGAAAGCGAGGGTCAATCCGTGATAGACTGGGTAAGATGTCTGCCCAACTTGCTTCTTGTGGTAACATTTTTAACTGTTTTGAGGAGTTTCCAAGTGAAAACGCGTATGCAATATAGTGTTATCCATATGCAGATGTCGATTCTTGGAAGTTTGTATATGACCCACTGATACTTTCCCTATTGTAATGCAGGCGCTGCCACTTCTAGAGAGTGGTTCACTCAATCAAATGATGGATCCCAGATTGACGGATGAGGATGATGATTCAAGGGTTGTTCAATACATGGCTCGGGCGGCTTTGCTCTGTCTGAAAAACGATCTGGGTCACAGGCTTTCCATAAGCGAGGTAAGATTTTTAGTTTTATGTTTCATATTCCTGCTTGCAATAATAATACTGGTCGGAAATCCGCCAACGTAGGAGTTTCATGTCACTAAAAATAGCTCTGTTTGTATTAACATTTGTTTTTCCTCTTTTTGGAATTGCTGATTATATTGTCTGGCTGTCACCGTAGTCTAATTCATTGTCCAATTTTGGCAGGTCTTAGCTGTGGTTAGAGGAAAGCAGATTGCAGTGCTTTAGTTTTGAATTGATCAAAACGAGTTTGTAAATTCTTGTTTGTACGTATTCAGGAAAAAAGAGGAACTCTTATTGCTTGTAAAAGAATATTGTTGAAGGAACTGAATGCAGCATTACTATATATAATGCAGACTACATATAGATATTTATGTGATGAAAGAGGGAGGTCCGTACATGCAGATTTCGTGATTGGGAATGCTGGTGAGGTTTTCTAGAGGAACTCAGCTATGAACAAGCGAGAAAAAGATGGATAATGCGATCATAAGCGCGGCATTTAAGCAAGTTTCGCGAATCTGCAGCATAAACTGAGGAAGAAAGTCACTTCATACTGTTTTCCAGTTAGTTGATATTTCTTGGTTCATTTGGCATGACAAACTCAGAGCTAGCAGTTGCGTTATAAAACCTCCATGTAGTTTGTCTAATCTTAACAGAGATCAGCAAATGCCAAAATTTCTCTCGTAAACCAACCTGCAATTTGTCTGTCCCATCGAAACAAACTCTGGATTGTAGATATCCTCGCTTAAGTGACAATGGTGGTGGAGTTATTCAAGTGTTTCTCCCTTCAGAGCTTATTCTTGTTTGCAGAAGAACCAATCTCCTTTGACTATTGCTTAATTTCATCTGCTGTTGTTTTGATCATGGTGCTGTATTACACTACTAGAGTACAGTACTTTGTTTACCTCTTAGATTTCAACTGCTATCGTCCACCCGATAACTTGAGAGGCATATTTGACTATTTCGTTGAATATTTTGAGACATTCAACATTTTTGACAGGGAAAGCATCGATTTCCAAGTGAAAGTGTACGAAAGAGCAGGTGTGGGAAATGAATCCTGTGTACCTCGTTCAGTTCACGAGATTCCATTTAATGGTTCTTTGAGCGGTGCTCGGGAAGAGATTGAAGAAGTTCTCTTTACAGCTGTGAGAGATCTTCTCTCCAAACACAAAATAGATCCTAAAAGCATTAATATTCTGGTATCAAATTGTAGCATTTTCTGTCCCACTCCATCCATTACAGCCACGGTGATAAACAAGTTCGGGTTTCGAAGCGACATAAAGAGCTTCACCCTAAGTGGAATGGGCTGCAGCGCGGGGATCTTGTCAATAGGTTTGGTGAAAGATCTCCTTAAAGTTCACAAGAACTCTTTGGCTCTGGTGCTCACTACGGAAGCTATAACACCCAGTTTTTATACGGGCAAAAATAAATCCATGCTGGTAACCAACACTTTGTTCCGTATGGGCGGAGCTGCTATTCTACTATCTAACAGGAAGCAAGACAGGTGGATAGCCAAGTACAGGCTCCAGCACATTGTCCGAACCCACATGGGATCCGATGATGAGTGCTACAATTCTGTCTTCCAACAAACAGATGAAGACGGCCACATGGGGGTGTCCCTTTCAAGAGCTCTTTTACACGTTGCAGCCAAAGCTCTAAGGACCAATATTTCAGAGTTAGCCCCCCTTGTTTTGCCATACTCTGAGCAGCTCCGGTACGGATGGTCAGTAGCTCGCAAAACGATTTGGTCAGCCGAGCAGAAGGGAACGTTCGTGCCGAATTTCAAGAAAGCTTTCGAGCATTTCTGTATACATGCTGGTGGTCGGGCTGTAATTGATGCGGTGGAGAAAAGTCTCAGGCTGCAAAAGGAAGATGTCGAAGCTTCGAGGATGACCCTATACAGATTTGGAAACACGTCGTCTTCCTCGCTTTGGTATGAGCTCTGCTACCTCGAGGCCAAAGGAAGGGTGAAGAAGGGAGACCGGGTTTGGCAAATTGCATTCGGAAGCGGCTTTAAGACTAACAGTGCAGTCTGGAAATGCATTTCAGAACTTGATCCTAAGGAAACAAACGCATGGTCTGACAGAATTCATAGGTATCCTCTGGATATTCCAAGTGTCTTAGAACATTGACGCCACAAAGGTCTCCTCTATGTACCTAGTTATACACATGAGTTCTCTCCGTTTCGTAAATGGTAATCTTACGTTTATTTAAGATAGATTCAGCCGTTAGCATCCTTACGACTCATAGAAAGTGTATCCCAATTTCCAATTTCATTTCAAAGGAAAGGAATCGGTTCAGATTCTTTTGTAGTAACTGCCAGTCAGTCTGCCACAGAAAGTCACGGTTTTCCAACTTATCATAGGCTGGCTCTATGGGGCTCTCCATCCCACTTTTGAGGGGTTTGGACCCTGTGCAAATGGACATGGGCTTAGGCTTTTGATTCCGTTGGTAACCCCGGGACCCTCACCAATCCATGAACAAGGAGGAACAGGTGTGAAGTAGGGTACTAGGGTCAGAGGATGCAGGCCATAAACAATCCTAAATCTAGAATATTGAAACATGCCAGACCTATAGACCCACCTGCCTCATCACTTTCATCCATATCTCCCACATACATCATTTTCTTGACGGTTTTGTTTTCAAGTGAGTAAGCTTCAAAACACTCACACTGTTAACTTAGCAAATTGATAGTGTCCAGGAAAAATGAAAAACTAAGACTACAGGAAACTCAACACAAAGGAAACAGATTTTCTTAAAGTCAGAACCAAATTAGATTAAATGACTTGAATTGTCTTGTTCAATTTACACTATTTTGTTAAATGCTGATCCATCCATGATCTAGATAGATCTTGACACTTTTGACATCATATGCTGCTTGGACAATATCTCTGCAGTGAGCTGGCGCCCTAATAACTGAGAGTTCTTGAGTATCATGTTTCTTGTTGATGAATCAACAACATATCCATGACCTGGCATCCATTGCAGCAACTGCAGAAGCAATTTCTTCTTTTGAGGCTGACCAAGATATCTTGATATGGCCATCTGAAACAGTTCCTGAGTGAAACCAAATAAATAAAAAGATTATCATACTATGAATCTATGATCCACAGAGTCGAAGTTACAACAGAAGCAAGAGCTATTGCTCAGTTTCCATGAAATTCACTCTGAGCTTTGTGAAGTAGGCCTAGGTTTGATTGTGTTTCAAATGTATCATCCCAAGCTTTAATTTGGCCATCTTTTCTATGGCAATATAGATTAAAATTAATTCCACTACAATACAGATGGATCCATTCTAAGAATCTCCAGGGTTGATTTTGAGGGCGAATTTGCCATTTTCCAGTTATCTATTTTGATGCTGTAATATTAAAACTTGGATAGACAAGTTGAAGTGAATTCAATCCAGCAGATGAATAAGAAAAATAATATGATCCTATTGGCTCTTACAACACCTAGATACATCATTCTGATTATCTAATGCTATGTATCAGAACACAGAATTCCAGAAACAAGCAACAATTCTGCAACTCAGACAGGTTTGCCTCTTATATAAAAGTAATGAATCAAATTAATTAAAGACATAACTAACTACCTGATCAATCTTATAGCCAGAACCATGAAGAACCTTCAGGACATCGTTTATCATGTTGATATTACCTAACTTCATGAATGCAGTTGCAAACTTTGTTATAGCAGGTTGAGAGATCAATTCTGCATTATCCTGGTAATAAAGTAATTTAATCAAAATAAATTAAAATATAAAGGGGAACAGTAGATCTAAGAATTTGCAAAGCTACATCACCTACCTTGACTACTACATATGCATCTTTGAGAAGTTGTCCAGCTATTAGAATATGCAGAATTTTCTCGTGAAGGGCCTTGCACATTGTTCTTTTGCTATACCTCAACATATTGTAAACAGAAAATGCTTCCAAATGGGCTTTCATTTTACCAAGTTGAAAAATTAAGGAGGAGCAAAGTTCCTGCAAATAACAAAGAATTGTAAGTTTTTAATGTGATTCTTTAGTTTAACTAGATTCCAAAAAAAATAAGCTGCGATCAAGTACTAAAACTCATTCCCTCATCATTGCCATACACTAACAGTAGAACTCTCATTAAAATTAAACCAAGAACAAGTTTGGTAGACACCATTTAACATGACCTATGTCAGTAAGTAACATGTTTAGCAGCAACTTCAATGACCAAAAGTTGAGCAAAGAAGATTGAAAAGAAACAGCCTGTACACACATTTGTGAAAAAAGTATGGTTGGAGATTAGAATTATGTGGTGGATGAAAAGAATCATTCCAAAGATTATTATTAAGGCAGTTAATGCAGTAAGAATGGCAGGCAACCAAATTAGATAGTCCCATAAGACTGGAAATATAAAACATTGTTATGGAAGAATGAAATAAGTCCTCAGAGTGTTCTAGACGACGTTCACAGTGAAGAAGCTCATAGGCTTAGGTCAGTTGTGCCATTGTCTAACTGTGATTTGCAATTTAGGAATGAAGAAAAGAGTTGCACACTATATTTGCTGAGCAAAAGAAAAGAGTTGCACACTAGCATTCTTAATAAGATCTATAAAATTAGAATTTCTCATACCTCCTCTGGATGATAGCCGTTACCCTGCATGTCCTCCATGGTCTTATAAGCAAGAAGATATAATTTCTCCTTACAGAAATATTTTATCAGGATATGAAAGGTGTTATAATCTGGACTAATTGCAAGTTCATCCATCTTCTTCATTGTTTGCATTACACTCTCCATCTCACCTGCTCTGCAGTAGGCACAAAGCATTGTATTTAACATTACCAGGTCATACTTGTTATACTTGGCTTCAAAATCTTGGGCCAACTCCTTTGCCTCTTCAAAGAGCCCAGCTCGGCACAGAGCTGAGATCATGATGCTATGAGAATATCCATCTGCAGCATATAAGAACGTTTCCAATAGCTGGGAATCAAAACAAGGGGAGATGAAACTTTAACATAGCATGCAAAACTATAATCACAAGGAAATCACATAGATCATTATTCTTATTTCTCAGTGTGCAAGGTAAGCATGCGTTAAATCCTTAGGCAGTGGTCCTTCATCTCTCAGTATGTAACAAAGGTAGGCTCAATCTCTTAAAGGAAACTCACCAGATTCGACACATTTTTGCTGCATTTCAACAAAAACTGATCTTGCTTCATCTAGACGCCCAGCTTTTGAAAGACCATCCATCAATAAACAGTAAGGCATCTACATATCGATTTGCATCTAATGAGTCAAGATATTCACTTATGAAACCATGAAAGAAAGGTAATCGATGATTACTGCAGCTGATAAAGCTTAAACATACATCAGCCAGTTATAGACAAAAATGTCATTAAAACTTTAAACTCATATCTTTATTAAGGATCACATCTCATCTTTGACCAAGCACAAACATGAGACAAAATTGTTCAATGTACCTCATCTTCAGCGTAGCCCAAGGCTTCCAATTCAGCTAATAGTTTTGTTGATTTTTCAAACAAACCTCCTCTAACATATACCTTTAATAAAGTTGTCAGTATAACCTGCAAGCATTTTCAAAACAAGATAAAAGAACGTAAATTTATATGCACCTCACACTAGCTATACCCCTAATGCAACTTCTAAATCTGATGAGATAAACACAAAAAACAAACCTTATTTGGTACTAACCCTGAAGATTTCATTTCCACCACCAACTCGTCAGCCTTACAGTAATTTCCATCATAAGAGTAAGCATTAAGTAAAGAGCCGTAATGATATAAATTAGGTGAATGACCTTCCTCCCTCATCTGGTTAAAGTAGTTTTGAGCTTCTTCATGAAGACCATTCGAAGCACAAACAGCCAAAAGAGTTCCATACATCACACTGTCGATTTTCAAACCATTATATTTCAACTCCTTAATAAACTCTAATGCCTTAAAATGTCCATGTTTGATTTTAATGCAACCTGCCAACAACTAAGGATGACAAAACAAAAACAACCATTAAATTTTTGTAATACAATTTGGCTAATGTTGAAATTAGCTCAACCATAAATAAAACTGCATAATTTAAGTTGCATTATTAGGCATACCGTGTTATAGGTGACAGAATCAGGGGTTAGGCCATCCTGATTCATCTTATCAAACAATTTGATACCACTTTCGAATTTGCCATTCCTAACCAAAGAACTAAGCAGAGAATTACATATAACAACATTGATTCTAGTTGATTCATCCGGAATGCTATTGTAAATTTCCAAGGCTTTAATAGGGCTGAGGTTTTTCCCCATAATTTTTATGTAACTGCTATAAGATGAACCATTGGTCTTCCCATGCTGCTGCATCCAATCAAATAGCTGCAAACGCAATTATCCCAAAACATAGAATCAAAGTACATTCAACCAAAATACTACTTGATATTGAAAACACGTGGCATATAAACTTTGGGTACCTCAGAAAGATGGTGCCATTTGCCTAACTTCCCGAAATGTCGTATAATTACATTCAAGTCTTGCGGCCTTAAAATTCCACCAAAATTTTGAAGGGCAGAGTTCAAATCAGAAGATTGTTGGACTTCAAGAAGAGCGGATTTTCTTTGTAAGTAAGACTTGGAGTGAGGCCGAGTAGGATTGGGTTCTTTAACGGGAGTTGCTGTCGTTGATGTTGCCGAGGTGAGATTAGAGATGCTGGCTCTAGGGGTGGGAGCGGACAGGGAAGGAATTCTGGGGAAAGACGAGGGTGATGGAAAGGTGAGATTTTGGTGGTGAAACCCAGTACCAAGAAGGGGCGATATCTCCATCTAAAGATAGTTTTGTCGAGTATGTCTGATTCAGTTTTGAACGTTGTAAAGATTGTTAAGGTCAGAGGGATGTTTGGGAATGTCGGTACACCGCGGGTAACCGATTATTCCGGATTGGCTTGGTAACCCTCTCGATATTTGTAGCAACTAGCAAGATTTTTAAGTAATTACCTTATTATATTTTTGTGTAATCATAAATATCTACTAAAATTTTGTTTGTGGATTTTTGCAGAGAGAAAATTGTTTTTATATATACACATATATCTAGGTCAAAATATCCCAGCAGATCTTGTACTATGTATTTTTTTAAATTTAGTCTTTCTATTTAAAATTAGAATAATTTCATTTATTGATGTTAAATGTTACTTCAAGTTAATTTTTTTTTTAACGATATCCAATTTAACTGTTAAAAATGATGACATCAAAACTAATGTGGCACTAACGTGACAAATTATCTAAAAATATTAATGTCACGTGACATTGACATACTGATATGTCAAATAAATTAAATTAAAAAAAATGATATAGGGACTAAATTAAATAAATATTTAATATACATGGATTAAATTGAATTCAAAAATATAATTTTTTTTGAAATATAAAGAATATATGTATTTAGTTTACTTTTCAAATTATTAAGTGTCTTTTCTTATTAATATCATTTCAATAATATATATATTAGACTAAAATAAAAAATATATAAATGGAACCATATATTAACTGTACGCTAATTACTTTCAAAGGTACTTTGATAGTTATATGGCTCCATTTCAAATGTATTATTTAATCAAGTATACAAGTATCAACGTACTTTCGAAAGGAATTTAGCATAAAAGTAATATATGTCTCCATTTCAAATGTGTTATTTATATATAAAGTAAATATTTTATGTATACTTTGATAGTTATATGGCTCCATTTCAAATGTATTATTTAATAAGTATGTACCATAACTATAAAATTACCCTTGAAAGCAATTAGTATAAAGCTAATATATAGCTCTATTTGTATTTTTCCTTTATATTAATTTAATATATGTATTATTGAAATGATATTAATCAGAAAAGACGTTTAATAATCTTAAAAGTGAGCTATATATATATATTCCTTATATTTAAAGAAAATTATATTTTACGTTTAATTTAGTCTAAGTAATTTTTTTTCAATTTAATCTATCTGACACGTCAGCATATCAATGT